CAAAAAAAGTAAATCAGAAAGTAAAAAATACAAAATTCAAAATTTACTTAATTTTTCTCCCACACTGGCTCATTACATAAGATGACCGCTGGAAATTTCTTGGAAGTTCCTCCCGGCTAAGTCCGATGGACTCGCTGAAAAACAATGAGAGTGGCCCTCCAAACTTGCTTGAGGGAGGGGACCACCAAACTTGATGGAGGGAGGGATCCTCTAGACTTGAGGGTGTGACGTAATATTGAACGCCCTACTTACATATCTTTAGTTTACCATACACCACAAATAGTCATAGACATTCCTAAGATAAAAAGTTCATTATCCATAGGTAAACTAGTCCCCCGTTCGGATCTCCGGGTGGGAACTGCTTTAGCGTAGGTTGAAAAATAGGGATTAAATATTGGTACGTGGAACGTAAGGAGTTTGAATCCAGCAGGTGGGTTAACACAGGTCGCGAATGAAGTTAATGAGTAGAAACTGGATATTGTGGATTTGTAAGAGGTTCAATGGTCAGGGGATGGCTCCTTCAGGGAAGGAAAGTACACTACTTGGTACGGAGGAAGCGGGAATCATTATTTAGGTACCGGGTTTCTAATTAGGAATAGATTACTATCCGCTCCGAGGGACGTACAATTATTCATTGATATTGAATTTCGGTTGCTATATTTCAGGGACGTTGCTTTAAAATTGCGTTATAACATACATTGTCCGACCGAAGACAGTGACGATGAAGTCAAATGAGAATTTTACGATAATCTGGAATGGGTTTATGATAAACTACCGCGAAACTGCATGAAAATAATGGTAGATGACGCAAACGCAAAGGAAAGGATGAAAGAAGTTTATGTTCCAACGATTGGTAAAGAAAGTTTGCACGAATATAGTAATGATAATGGGATCCGTCTGATAAACTGTGCCATCTCGAAAAACCTGATTATTAAAAGCACTATGTTTAAACTTTATGATATTCATAAATATACCTGGACATCACCGGATTTGTAAACACGAAATCAAATCGATCATATCATGAAACAACATAGCTGGCAAAGCAGCCTAATTAATGTCAGGTCTTTTTTCGGATCAGAATGTGGGTCGGATCGTGAATTACTAATCGCGAAACGTCGACAAAAAAATAGTATAAAACAGAGAAAAGAAAACCGTTTCGATATCGTCCCACCAAAATCCATTAATTAGAACTCAATTATAGCTAGATATTAAGAATGGGTTTGAAGCTTTAGAAGGGCCGCGGGAATATTGACAAGTTATCGGTAGAGATCATGGATAATATTAAATCGGTCGGTAACTCGTAACTACGAAAAAAAGGTAAATAAGAATAACAAGCCGTGGTTTGACGAAGAATGCTTAAACGTGTGCTAAAAAAGAAAAGCGGCTGAATTAAAATCTTTAAATAACCTTGGCGAAGACAATCTGTATTACTTCCGAACGTCAAAGAAAGAAACGAAAAAATGCTCAAAAATAAAAAAAAAAGGTGTCTTAATAATAAAATAATAGAAATAGAAACTAATGGAATCGAAAATAACGTAAGATTTATGTACACAGGTATAAACAGATCACGTAAATACTTAGGCCAGTCACGTCTGAAATTAGCGATGAAAATAACAATATTCTGACCGAACCGGTATACTTATTAAATAAGTATAAGAACCATTTTGACAATATTTTAAGCACGGGAAATTATAATCTGTGTCCTCCTTCTGAGTAACATAATGCTGAACAGTTAATAGAAGAACCGACTAAAGAGGAAGTTGCAGTAGCTATCGGAAAATTAAAATCATGTAAATCAGCGGGAACCGATAATATTCCTAGTGAACTAGTTAAGGCATGCGGGGAAACTGGTGTTTCTAAAATACATTTGTTGGTTAAAAAGATCTGAGAGAATGAGAAATTACCTGAAGAATGGAAAGAATCTATTCTTATTTCGATTCACAAAATGGGCGCGAGGACGGATTGTAATAACTATTGAGGAATTTCACTACTTCCGGTATGCTATAAAATATTCACTTGATACAGGAAATAATCGGTGACTACCAATGCGGATTTAGACGGAATCGTTCGACTACTGGACATATTTTCTTTACGGCAAATATTGGAGAAAACATTAAAGTACAACGGTATTGTTCAACAGCTGTATATTGATTTAATAAAGGTTTACGATTCTATTGACCGCCAGAAACTGTACAATATTCTAATTGAGAAGGGGATTCCAAAAAAAAAATAGTTAATCAAGTCAGAATGGGCTTAACGGAAACATTAAATAAATTTAGAATAGGTAATAATTTATCCGAAGTTAGAGCTTCGTTCCGGTTTAAAACCCTTGGCCTGTTTTGTTCAATTTGGCATTAGAACATACCTTAGTTAGGTAATGCTTACCGAAGAAGGGTTTGGGACATTGTCTTCTCTGCATCGGAGAACGGAATGCAGTTTGCACTCGATTCTTTCTAGATGTTGAAGACGCGTTTTATCGAGTCTGGCACCCGGGGTCGCTTTACAAACTCCGTAAAATCCTTCTCCCTACATACGTTCTTATCATCTGTTCCTACCTTACTGATAGAAACTTCAAAGTAAATCAAAATAATACCTATTCATCACTCTTTTTTCAATCTGCCGGTGTTCTTCAAGGTAGTATCCTTGGTCCTATCCTTTACACAGTTTTTACAGCTGTTATCCCAACTCTTCCTAACACTGTCATCACGACGTTTTCTGATGACACCTGTATCCTATCAGTTAATAACGATCCATCAATTGCATCCCAAACTCTTCAATCACACATCACAAACCTTCAAGAATGGTGTCAAAACTGGAGGATTAAAATAAAATCCAATAAATCCCATCAAATCACCTTTACATTTCGTCGTAAACCTATGCCTTCCTGTCCTACAATATCCTTTAACAGCACCCTACTTATCCATGTAGAACAAATCCAATATCTAGGACTCCACCTGGACAAACGTTTCACTTGAAATCCTCATACAAGACTAAAACGACAAAAAACTGCTTGAAGATTCTGCTTACTCCAACACTTACTAGACATACGCTCTAAACTTTCAATTAATTACAAAAAACTCATATGCATGACTATAATAAAACCTATTTCGACTTAAGGAGTTTAGCTTTGGGGCTCAACTAAACTATCAAAATCCCCTCGTATCCAATCCTTATAATCCAAAATCCTTCGTAAAGTCCTCAATGCTCCTTACTTTGTCACCAATAAAATAATCCATAAAGATCTTAATGTTTCATATGTTTCCGATTCTGCCCAATTCAGATACATATCCTTCCATAATAAACTTCGTAACCATCCTGAATCCTCTTGTTTATAACCTTGCTTCCTCTTTGATTCGTGATAATCCTCCGAGGCGTCTGAAAAGAAGATGGCCTCGTGATCTCTTTATGTAGACACATTATTAGAGTGCTACCAATGGGTAGTTTCTCAAAAAGCGTTGTCATGTAATTATATTCCTCTGTACACATTTGCTTGATGTACTTATACTAATACAGCAGTAAATATCATCAATAAAAAAAAAATCCAAACCAAACTGGTATGAGCAGCCTTTTACGAAGTAATTAATTATAATCTGATGTTTCAAATATCAGACATAAGAGATTAATAAAAGTGGCGTATAACAAACATAAGTCGCAAAGAAATCAGTTCCAAGCTGTTGATTAATTTGGATCTTGCAATATATGCTGTACAACTGCATTGGGCATTACCAAATGCGACTTTTCTGAGCCCCGCCACCTTCTCCAATCCTAAATCAAACTAATGTCACTCTTATCATTGCCACCGTCCTATTATTATCACATGAACTGAAGATTTTTCCACCCTAGGCGGCCGTCCAGGTTGACTTAAATCTCCTTTGGATGAGATGGTCCTATTTATTTATTATTATTAATTTAAATTGTATTGAGTGGGAACTTCAGAAACTGTCTTTAAAATAGTGTATGATTGTGATCTACATTTATCTTTGACAATTTTCAAATGCAGTAGTCCGTAGTTGTCCTGGAAAATTATAAATGTGAGAGTTAATACTGATCACTTTTGTGAAACAATCATATTTTGTCAATATACTATATCGGGTTAAAGATGAAGTTTTTTTTTCTATAAATTTATTCCATTACCTATTAGTCCGATGTACAGGCCTCTTTTTATCAAATTATTAATATCATAAAAACTTTTTCATCTACGATATCTCTCAGAAATACGGCATTTTTTTTATTAAATTAATGAAATGCCATAAAATCATAAATACCCATATATTTTCCACTTCAATCCTAAGCTTGGTCATCTAGAAAAAAAAAAAAAAATCTAGAAAAAGATGCCTTACAAAATATGAGGCCGTTTGGCCTATATGATCTCGCTATTCTGATATGTATGGATGAAGCTTATCCTAAACTAACCAATACTTTTGTAGGCCACTTTTTTTCTTGATTTTGTGATCAAATTATCTTACAATTTAGATGGAAAGCAAATAGTATTCATGGGTTTTTTGTACCTCATTAACTAGACAAAGATTACCAATTGCAAACGTCACATTCTCGAGAACGTTCGTAAATAAAAACGTTTTAGGTTACTATAAGATAAAGGCATTCAGGAGGTTTTAGACGATGTTAATGATTTGATAAAAAGGGGTCTGTACGGCGAACTACATGTTCCACATCCTAATTTTACGGTTTTTCTAAAGATTGTGAATCTTAGATGAGTTTTAAGTTGTTTCAATGATTACATCAGTTAAATAATTCTTTCGAAACGACCTATTTTGCGCTTACGCCACAACCACTATTGTTTAAGTAATGAATTAAAAGTGAGCATGAGTGCAATCATTTAAATATAATGATTCAATCAAGGGTCTCTTAAAAAAAGACGAAATATCTAACTTCAAGAATTAAGACATTACACTTACTTAAAACCAAACTTCGTAAAGTATAGTGCGCACTCACCCCACATTACCTTATTCAATAAACAATAACTATACAATAAAACTTACAAAGAAAGAAAAGGTATGAAGATGCATGTATCAAAAACTTCATAAACGGTTTCCTCATCAGTTTTCCAGTACTTGTTGCTGGAGCTAAGATGTACAGCATACAGTAGAATGGAAACAATAATGCAATTCGACATACTTCCAGTAGCTTAGCATACAGTGTTTTCCTTCGAAATCCTGGTAACCCATCATACCACATAGTGGCTAATAACTGTTGAATGTTGGGATGTGCAACAAACTGCAAAGTAAGAGATAAAAGTAGTCTCGATTGTTTTAAAATTAATTATTAACTGAGTACTATAAAATTAATGGTATGATTTGACGGTACTTAAAAATAACTCAAATGCTTATTTAAATGTTTGAAATATTAAATATCTGTAGGAAAAAGGTTTTTTTAGTCTCAACAATTAAAAAAGTATATTTTAAATTTATCCAAATTTTCGCCTCTTCAGGGAAAAAACCAGAGGCCATATCTTTCCTTCTATTGACGATTTTCTTTTTTTTTTTTTTAGGAAATTCCATAAACTTTTAAAAAACCATATCAACAAAAAACGTATACTTTTTGAGTTATTCGGAATTTAATGTTAACATCCCTCGTTACTTTTTTTCCAGCTTCTTTTCGTTGAATTTATGTTTAAAGGGTGTCGATAAAATGACTTTAGCGAAGTTTCATTGAAATCGATACATTCATTTAGGCGCTACAGTCTATAGCAACGCAGGTTTTTCTGCATTTTTATTTTTTTTCTACTTTATTAACTTATCAAATTCTTTCAAAAGTTATATATACCATTTTTTTATAACTCTGAGTAATGCGAAATGATTAATTTTTTTAAATAAACCATATTAAAGGTACTTTAGAGGAAGACATATATGAACATTGGGCATTTAAGTTATATAAAGTTAAATCAACTGGGATAAGACTCAAATGATATTAAAGACCACTTAATTATGATACACTGAGTTTAATCAAAATCGTTAGAGCCGTTTTTGAGAAAATTGTAAAAATGTGTTTCAGCGTTCATATAAAGTGGCACTTCCGGTAATCCGATTTTGACAAAAAAGTTGCTGTCACATCCGGCCCATATACAAACCTTAAATACTTAATATTAGTTTCGTTCTACTTTTCATTTATAAGCTAGACTGTTAACACACAGGCACACTGTCACACAGACCATTTTGCGACACTTGGTTATTTGGACTCAGGGGACCTCAAAACATGTATTTGCGTTGAAAACTGAGATTCGAAAATTTTCACGATCTCAATACTTAAACTTACTATATATTACATAAATACGTAAGTGAAAGTAAAAATTCTAACCCTACATATTCCGAAAATTTTTGTCCAATCTCAATCCTTTCCAACCTTTCAATACCACTGCAAAAGCTGTGAAATACGAAGTTTCCAATCTACAAACAAAATAAAAAAAAACAAATGAAATCAAAGAACAATCAAATCAATTTGATTCCCACCAATATAGTTTCCGACCAGGTTAATCTGCCCTAATTAAAATCACACCAGCAATGGGGAGCCAGATCCACAAATTCCCGAGGGCGAACATTGCTATCTGCACTTAATTCCCATCGCAGCAACATCCTTTCACCTAATACTCCCACATACTGGCCAACAGATCCCAACCGCAATCCCGACCTTCTAGACTTTTTCCTATATGGCCAGCTATATAGACTACTAAGCAGGACATCTCATCTTTCGATTGAAAATAAACTTTTAATCTACAAGACAATACTGAAACCTATCTGGACCTACGGACTTGAACTGTGGGGAACTGCTAAACATTCGAATATCAAACGCATCCAATCCTTCCAGTCCAAAGTACTTAGAACAATAGCCAATGCCCCATATTATGTCACAAATAAGACCCTACACCATGACCTCAACATACCATTTGTTCTCGACATCATCCCATCCAGATTCTCAAACTTTCACCAGAACCTTATCCATCATCCAAATCCTCTAGCTCAATCCTTATCCAGCTCCCACCATCCCTACAATCCCCCTCGAAGGTTAAAACGGCAGTGGCCGCGAGATCTATTGTAAATATGCTTCTGGAGTCCTGGCAATGGCCAGCTTCTCCACTCAAGTCCTGAGCATCTGTGGCTCTAGTGCCCTCCTTCAGCCTCCACTGGCTTTTAATACTAGTGATGCGGCTGGAAAAGTGGCACTGGGATCTCTGGAGTCCTGCTTTGCTTTCCACATGTGGGGAGAAAAGTCTGGCTCGGAGATTCCTGGATGAATGTGTATATTGTATATAGGTATGAATGTGTTTAGAAGTTGTTATTTTATTTTGTTTGTTTATTTTTTTTAATTTTATTTATTTATTTATTTTCTTATTGATTTACTTTTTTTTTATAAGTATTATTTATTTACTTCTTATATTTATTTTATAGTTACTTCTGTATTACTTGTATATACTGTATGAATGAGAACTTCTAGCCTTAATACTTATAGCCCTCTAACAGTGGCTGATTGTATTATTATTATTCAATAAAAAAAAAAAAAAAAAAAAATTAAAATCATCAGCGATACTAATTCTGGCAAAGATGAAAAAAAAAATTACTGTCCTCTTTCTCTTTGATTTTTCTAAAGCATTAAAGATACCGATAACCATTCCATCCTTATTTAAAAAATAAAAATCGTTATTTCAAACTTCTACTTTTGGATTCAATCATTCCTTTCTCAACGTTGCCTATTATTTACAACTGCTAATAGACCCCTGTCTTTCTATCTTACACAGAACACAGGAGAGGTCCAAGATTCGATCATATCTCTCCTTCTCTTCTTCTCCTATATTAACGATCTACATAAATCACTTCTACATTCTTCCCATCACTTCTATGCCGACGGTTCCCAAATGTGTTTATGCTTGTTTCCTCCTCCGTAGTATGCAAGAAAGGATAGGGTAGGGTGTATAAGTGAAATGTTTATTGTCAGTGGGCCAGACACCTTCTTCCACCACATAAATATAAATTACATATCGTTTTGCTCTTTGTACTAATTGAAATGCATCATTAATTAAAACAAAACTGAAATATTGAAAAAAATCATTTTTATTTCAAGCCAACGTTTGGACCGAAGTTTGTATTTAATCTTCAGGGCTGGAACAAACAAGATAGATAAAAAAAGGAGAATATCTCGAAAGTAATAAATAAAGGATATCTTTGCTGGTTGATTGCTGATTTGGAAGATCTTTGCTGTTCCCCACAGCTCAAGTCCGTATGTCCAAATAGGTTTCAGGATTGTCTTTTTTTTTTTAACTTTTATTGATTATTAATACAGTCTGCCATACTAGGGCTATAATATTCATTCACACAATATGTACATAAGAAAGGCAAAAAAAAAATATATAAATAAAAAGATAAAGTAATATACAAGATAATTAAAACAACAGAACAGCCGAACAATAAAAAAACAAATAAAACACATTCACACCTATGTACAATATTTACATTGGCCCAGGGGACTCCGAATCAAGCTTTTTTCCCCAACTGTGGAAGCCAAAGTAGGACTCCAGGAAATCCCAGTGCTTCTCTCCCAACTGCGTCACTGGTATAGTAAGCCAGTGGAGACTTATGGAGCGCACTAGAGCAACAGACGCTCAAGACATGAGTGAAGAATCTGGCCAGTGCCAGTACTCAAATATATACATTTTTACAAAAGGTCGCGGGGTCACTGCCGTTTTAACCTCCGAGGAGGATTGTAGGGATGACTGGAGGTAGATAGAGACTGTGCTAAAGGATTAGGATGATGAGTGAGATTCTGGTGAAATTTGGAAAATTTGTCTGGGATTAGGTCAAGTACAAATGAGATATTAAGGTCATTGTGTAGGGTTTTATTGGTTACATAAAAGGGAGCATCGACTATTGTTCGGAGAACTTTAGACTGAAAGGATTGAATGCGTTTGATGTTAGAAATTTTGGTGACCCCCACAGTTCGAGTCCGTAGGTCCAGATAGGTTTCAGGATCTTCTTGTAGATTAATAGTTAGTTCTCAACTGAAAATTGAAATTTTTTATTGAGTAGTCTATATAGTTGGCCACATCGTCGGTTAAGCTGTTGTCTTTTAAGTCTGGTATGTGGGTTCCATGTTAGTCTTTTGTCTAGAAAGAAGCTATGGTACCGAACTGTATCGGAGAGGTGAAGTGGTATGGAGTTGAACTAAACTGTTGGACACAACTAGCGCCGAAGGGTGAAAGTGGTGTGTTTGGATTTAGATTCATTTACTTGGATGCGCCACTTATTACCCCAGTGTTCAATAAGAGAGAGGTGACTTTGTAGGTTAAAGGAAGCTGTTTCGGGATCTGAATTAGAAGATAGGATGGCCGTGTCATCAGTGAATGTTGCCAGGAGAGTTTCAGGATGAGTAGCAATATCAGCGGTAAATAGAATATAAAGGATAGGACCCAAGACGCTCCCTTGAGGAACTCCTGCCTGAATTGAATAACACTTGGAAAATTCAGTTCCACAGCGGACTTGAAAGGAGCGGTTAGAGAGATAGGATCAAAGTGCCAGATATAAGGACTGAGGTAGATAGGTTTTAAGCTTGAAGAGCAATCCGGTGTGCCATACCCGGTCAAATGCTTGCGTAATGTCCAGAAATGCACCCGAGCAATATTGCTTGCTTTCTAGGGCTGAGGATATATGGTCAACAACTCGGAGGCCTCGTTGGACAGTGGAATGTTGGGAACGAAATCCGAATTGGTGGGTAGGAAGGTTTTGGAATTCTATTATGGGTATAATACGTTTTAGTAGAATCTTTTCAAAGATTTTTGAAAGGATGGGAAGTAGGCTTATTGGTCTATAGAAAATTGTGTTATTAGAAGGTTTACTTGGTTTCAGAAAAAGGATGATGACAGAATGTTTCCATAGGAGAGGAAAGTGGATAGTTCGTAGGATACAATTGTATATATAAGTGAGGAATATGATTGCTTTGGATGGAAGTTGCCGAAGGATATGCGGGATTAGAATGTCGTATCCAGGAGATTTACGGGGAGATAGTTTTTGTAAATGATGTTTGACCTCAGAAGGATTAACTGCTTTTGGTGGTAAGAAGAGTGGGATGGGTGAAGAGAGGAATTCTTCTACTATTGCAGTGTGGATAGGATGGGATTCCGGATGAGGAGTGAATGTGTAGGAGAGGTGTTTGGCGAATTCCTCAGCTTTGTCTTCATCTGACGCCGCCGAGGAGCCATCACTTTGTCGGAGGGGATGGGAGACATGGTG